AAAAAAAAAAAAAAAAGAGAGAGAGAGAGAGAGAAATGACAGATTTAGCCTTGCCTCCTGTTTTCCTTCTTTGTAATCACTGATTGTATTTTATTATTTCTTTTCAGGGTTAGAATATGTCCTTGATTATTGCTTATATCTTTTATTTGAACTTTCAGATTTAGACAGTTTGGGCCAGGGAGACACCTCAGTGGAATAAGGGCTTGCCTGGCAAGCGTGAGGTCCTGAGTTCAATCCCAGGGACCACACACACACACAATTAGACAGTTTTCTGACCATGTCTCTGAAACCAGAGAGAATCACTGTGCCTACCTTCTCTTACGCCTTTTCCTTGGATCTGTCTCACTTGCTTTGTGTAATGTAACTGTTGTTTTGTTTAAAGTCTGTGTCTAAATGGGTGCATTTGTTTCTTACTGGTAGCCCCTTGCCTGTAGTTTCTTCATCTATTTGGTAGAACTTCAAAGCAGTTTTTATTTCTTCTGCAGAAGTCTTATTAATCAAAAAATTTTAAGTCCAAGCCAGTGTTTGGCTACCAGGATTCTGCTGTGTCCCGGGTGACAGCATTCTCCCAGGTAGGCAGATTTCTGGAGATGGACAGTGGACTGGTGGTAGTCAGAGGTGGGTAGGAAGGTGGGAGACACCTGCGGTCAGGGGTGGGGCTTGCTTTTTGAGGTGATGAAAGGTTTGGGATTAGAATGTGACAGTGGGGTACAACTTTATGAATACACCAACATCCACTGAAGGTTTTAAATGGTGAGTTGTCAAGTAAGTGAATTGTATTTCAATTTTGAAAATCTATATATGAAAGTAGAAGCAAATAATTCTGTGAAGTTTTACAAAGCACAGCTAAGACCTGTTTCCACCCTGGCATTCTCCCGTCTCTACAAGCAGCCATAGCCAACTCGTGACTGATGCTTTAGAATTTACCTTCCCATCTTCACTTCTTTGTGGGTAACATCAAAAGGTAGATATCATCTAGTTGTTCCTGTGATGTGGAAATTAATCAGGGGTTTCTGTGTTAGCCGGCCTGCGCCATAGCGTTCCCTTATCAGACTTCAGCCTAGTGATTTAGCTGGAATGGGTGGTCATATCCTCAGGTGGTAAAGGGTCACAGGCTCCCATCTTTATTTTTATGTTTATGAGCAGTAATTCTTCTTGAAGGAAGAACTTTGTTCATTGGCTGCTGGCTTGCATTTACAGTTTATGGAAGAAGGACAGGATAGATATTTAATTTTCCCTTTTTGTCCTTTCATTAAAATTATTTTACTGTGTTGGAAACTGAACCCAAGGCCTCATGCATGCTAAGCATTCATTCTGTCACTGAGGGCCACCCACCCTGTTGTTTTTAGCCAGTTTTCAGAGTAATGATTTGCTGTTCTAGCAGCTGCCACCCTTGGTTTATTGGGGTTATTATTTATTTTGCTTTTGCTTTCCTATTTCTTGGGATTGAATCAGGGCCTTGTACTGAGATGCATCCCAGCCTTTTTATTTTTTTTTTTATCTTCACGGTCTCACTACTAGATCAGACTCCCAGTGATCCACCTGTTTACAGTCTCCCAAGAGCTGGGATTATAGCCTTAGCCTCTGAAGTGCAGGGATTCCAGGTGTGTGCTGCCATACCCAGCTCAGATTTTCTGTTTAGTACTGAATTTGAAAAACTTCATAGGTCTGGCCAAATAGCTCAGCGGATTAAAGTACCTGCAAGCAGGCGCAGGGGCCAGGGTTCAGTGCCCAGGCCTGCTTTGCTGGCCCCACCCCCTGGGGTGTGCTGAGAAGGTGATTGAGACAGGGTGTGGTGGCACGTGCCTGTAATCCCAGCTCTTGGGAGGCTGTAAACCGACAGAGCCCTACAAGTCTGATCTAGTAGTGAGACCCTGAATACCCTGTAGACCCTTCCCTAAAATACAAAGAAAAAGAAGAAACTTCATAATGTGTCTAGCTTCTCTGTACTTCCTGTGCTTGTGGTTCTGAACTTCTCGGATCTCTAGTTGTAATTTAGAAAAGTTTCGCCATTATGTTGCCAGAAGATTTTCTGTCTCCCCCATTTGGGGGACCACATTCACACATAGCAAGGCCTTGGTGCTTCCTTTGGGATAGCTTCAGGTTTACTGTGCCTTCAGACTTAGTTCATTTCTTTTGTATTCTCTAAACTGCTCTGAATCCTATCTGTGGTGATTTTCATCTCAGACAGTTAAAACTATAGCTTTAATGCAGGCCATCTTTTGCTTCCATATTTTCCCTCCTGCCCCTTCCCAGCCACTCCCTACTCTCCTTCCCCAGGATTGAACCTGAGGCCTCCTGTGAACACACAGTCTGTCAGTGGTCTCCACCCCAGCGCCCCGCGTCTTCATTTTCAGGCTAATGCTTCTCCTTCTTGCCATCCTCACCTTCATAGACCTCCTCTTCCTCCTCCTCCTTCTCCCCCTCTCTCCCTCTCCCCCTCCCCCTCTCCTCCTTCCCCCCTCCCCCCTTCCCCTTCCCCCCTTCCCCCTCCTATTGAACCCAACCTAGCTATATCCACAGCTCTTTTTTTTTATTTTGAGACAGGTCCTTAAGTTCTTCAGGGTAGGTTCAAACTTGCGATCCTCCTGCCTCTGCCTCTGGAGTGGCTGGGATTACAAATGTGTGCGACCCATGTGGTTCCTCTATCTTGAGCAGATGACTGTAGCTATAAGTGGCTTTAGTGTCCTTAATTATATCATCTTCCTCTGTCATTGCTAGTTGGTTTGGGCTATTTTTTTGTTACCATCATGGTTATGTTTTACAGTTTCTTTGCCTGACTAGTAATAAATATGTGATTGGATGCTGACTGTCTGAATTTTACTATGTTCTGTACTGGGTAGTGTTCCTTTGATTCTTTTGAGTTTGGTTCGGGACCCTGTTTGGATACTTGGCTGCCATTTTCATGTGGTTGCACAGACTAGCAAACCTCTTCCTGCAGGCCAGCTGTGGTCCTGTCTGTCCCTTTGCCCATGCTCTGTGGTTGCTTTTGACGTCCCAACAGTGTCAACATGATGGAGCCGGCCTGGCCCACCAGGCTGCTGACCCTGGAGTGGAGGTGTGTGGCCTGCTGCTCAGGGCTTGCGTTACCCTTCTGCAGGCAGGATGGAGCTGCCCTGGTTCAAGCGAGGGAATTGTTGCAGATCTTGGGGTGCACCCCTCTTCCTGTGTTCCTCTCCTCTGGTGTGCAGGTTTCTGCTCTCCGGGTATGCTGGGTGTGCTATAGGCCTCCACCCAGTGCTGCAGCTGAGGACCCTGGTGCACAGTCCTCAGTTTGCTGGGCCATGCCCCCACCCCCAGTGCTGTGGGCTCCTTCCCAGCTGGATAGGGCTTGGCCTGTTCATTTCCCTCAGGGGCCACTGTGTTGGTGCCCAGTTGGCCACTGTCTTCAAAGTGGTGTTCCATGTATTTTTTCTGTTTAAAAATTATTTCCAGGATCAGGAGGGTGAATCTGGCCTCTACTGCTCTGCCGAGTCTGATTATGGACATCTCCAGTACTTAACATTTAGTGCTAGCGGGAATAGTGGTAAATTCAGTGTTTCAGTTGCTGAAGTGTCTGTTGATTCTTCCCACTCTCATTTCATGCCTTAGGGGTCCTTTGCACTTTTGATAGTCTTACTTTGAATTACTAGGAGGTTCCTTCTAATATCCCTCTTCTCTTTCTTTCTAGCTATGGATAAAGTTGAAAAGATCATTCATTATAGAAATATTTAAATTACTGGCCCCATGGCTGATTTCTTGCTGTCGCCACTTAAAATGTCATGGCCATGGGTGCTTTATAATAAAAATGTTTAAACAGAAAAAGTATCAGTGTTCAACTTGATTCTTTGTTAAGTTTAAAGTTTTTATATTACATTTCACAATTTTGTTTTCATTGAAGTTTTTGGACTTTAGCCAAGCTATAAAAATCTTTAGTACATTACAGTGCATCCTTAGATTAAGTTGGGGATGGTGGTGCATGCTTGGAATCTCAGTTATTTAGGAGACTAAGGTGGGAAGATTGCAAATTTAAGGCCAGCCTGGGCAACTAGCAAGATTAAGTTCTCAAAAAGTGTTGGGGATGTAGCTCAGTAGTAGAAACCCCCTTTGGGATTTAGTAGATATTTTGATCCTCAGAGAGGTGGTTTGTTTTTTGTTTTTTTTTTTTTTCCTTTCTGTTCTGCTTGCTTGTTTTTTTTTCTTTTCTTTTTTTTTTTCTTTGTCTTACTCTGATTTTATAGCTAGTGTAACATATGCAAAATCAATAGTTTTTGTTTTTGTTTGTGACACTGGAGTTAACCTAGGCCATCCCCAAGCTACATCCCCATATAGTGAGACCTTGTGTCAAACAGACAAAAAATAAAACACAGCAAAAACTCTCTTATAGTAAAAAAAGAAAAAGAGAAATGGTGGCCGTGAAGTGAGATGTCAGGTGACTTAAAGAAACCAAGCGGGAGATCTGACACCGTGTCTCACGGCCATGTGTGTTTCCCGGGTTTTGGTGGTGAACTTCAGTCAGCCTCCATCAGTTTGGCTGAGAGCAAGGAGCTCTGGAGAAACAGCTTTCCTTTTAGTAGGTAATTTTTCTTGGTAAGTATGCCATAAGAACTTGAAGAATGATCTTAATTTCTCATTTTAAAATGACTGTCAACTGAGCCAGACTGTTTAACATTTCAGAGTTAGAACACATGGATTTGTCAATAAATTTAAATGTGATAGTAGTTGCCATTACTACTAAGTTGTTTGAGTAATATATTATATTCACATTTTAAACGGATATTGATCTTCAGTCAGTGACTAAATTGAAGCATCTCAATTCTTATGAAATTGCTGATTCTTTTCCACTTTGCAGTTATACAGCCAGACATAAATTCCAGCCAGCATTCTACAGAATTTTCTTAGCTTTGCTTTTCTATGCAGTACCCTTTAGGAAGTATGACTACTTTTTAGATACTAAAAATAGCAAAGACAACAAACAACAGAGTTAAAAGTCCTACTCTGTGTTTCATTGTGTCTCGAAGGTACTTGAGGTTCATCCAGTTGCCCTTGACTCAGAGAAAGTTCTGTGAAAGCTGTCAACAATTGCTGCTACCAGATGACTGGGGAGTGCACGGAGAGCATCAGGTAGTGGGTGACGTTTCTGTCACCCAGTTAAGAAGACCCAGCCAGCTCCTTTACCCTCTGGAGAACAAGAAGGCAAATGCCCAGTATCTATTTTCAGAAAGGACCTGTCAGTTCTTGGTTGGCCTCCTTTCCACCCTGGGCTTCAGAAGGGTACTCTGTGTTGGGACACCAAGGTATGTTCTGAGGATTTTAAAAAAATTCCTGTTAGTGCTGTTTAAACTGTGGGAAAACTTTGTCAAAGTCGTTTTGCTGTGTGTAGCAAGTGCACAGTGTGAAGCTGGAGAATTCACAGGAAGTGAGAAGGCTGCTCCCTCCTGCTCTTGGGATTTGCAGCCTGTATTCCATTGGAGAAATTTCTTTCTGGTGGAGGAGAGGAGATGCTTTCTGATTTGAGATATAAATTGTCTATGACATTAGATCTGTCTGTTTTAGATAAGTTTAGCCCTTTTAAAAATATTTGCAAAACTGAAATCTTGGTTATACCTGCCAAATTCTCCTTAGGGTTTCATTGAAAGATCAGAGGTCACAGAATAATATTGATCTGTTTGTTGTTTGTTTGTATATTGTCTATGACATTTATAATTTCTCATTAAATTTCCTTTACTAATTGCTTTAGGTTGCATGAACTGATCAGGTTGACAACTTCTGGTGGCAAGAAGTCTAACCTTAAAAGCCTTTTATTGGATATTGATTTTCGGTAGGTTTATAAAATATAATTATTCTCCATTATTTATTGTTTTTTTTTCTTTTCTGTCTATAAACTGCCATAAATTTTAATTAACATTTAGAAGTACAAATTGGTTATAAAGCACCTTTTCAGTCATATAAACAACAGGTAATCTTGTATTTCACATAGGGAGACAATTGATTTCTCTTCCTGGATTTCTCTCCAAGTACTGTATTTGGTCATCTGTGATTTACAACTTCAAGATGGATTAATTCCTACAAGTGAAGTTTTGAAGGCACACTGTACTGCCTTGTGCTTAGTTTTATTTCTAGGACTTTGTTTCATTGTCATATCTTTAAAATGTGAAAAAGCATTTTAAAATATATGTATTTTACTGGGCAGTGTGTATGCCATTTCACTGGATGTGGCCTGAAGTGAAGGGAGTGGCTGGCTAGGGGAAGCGGGTGCTAGGCTGAGGGCTCATGCAGGTGAAGCTGAGTGGAGAGTATAAGACTTGGCAGTGAGAGCTGCAGACCTTTATTTACTTATTTATTTTTATTTTATTTTATTTTTTTTGGTGGAAGCAGGAATCAAACTCAGGACCTTACTTGCCAGGCAGGTTTTTTTGTTTTTTTTTGTTTTTGTTTTTTTTTTTTTTTTTTTTTGGTGGAACTGGGGATCAAACTCAGGCGCTGCCAGGCAAGCGCATATTCTACTGAGCCATCTCCCCAGCTCCAAGATCTTGATTTACAGCACAGGGCACATCTTTCATCTGCTGTCTGCGTAATTCTATAGTATTGAAATATTCTTTCTAGTTTCTGTAATTGTTTGACTTCCAGAAGTTCATTGTGACTTTATAAGACACTGTGTTCTTAGTATCATTTACATGATTTTGAATGCCTTTAAGGAATTTGGCCTTGTGGTTTTTTGTATTTAGATCTAATAGCCTATTATTCAGAGGGGTACCAGGGTAGAAACTAATAACTGGGTTAGTATTTAGTATTTTTGAGAAAATCTGTGAAAAAAAAAATTTTTAAATCTGTGAAATTAAATATTTTCTTGACCTAAAAAGGCAAACAGATTTTTAAAGTGTAAAATATCATGTTAAATAACATAATTTTTGTCATTCTTCTGTGTGTTTCCAAATGGACTTTAGTTTACTTACTATAAGAAACCACATTTCTCAGGTTATCTGCACTTTCTTACTCCTTATTAACAGGCCTACCCTGTGAAGCACTCATCCCCCATTAGTGCTTGCATAGTGAACTGACATCTCCCGGCAGGGCTGATCCTTGGCATGACGACGGTAGAGATCTGTTGTTATAGAGAAGTCAGAGTCAGGCGTGCTAGCAGCACACGCCTGTCATCCCAGTACTTGGGAGGCAGGAGGATCAGCAAGAGTTCAAGGGCAACCTGAACTGTATAGTGAGACCATCTCTCAAAAAGACAAAAGAAGTCACAGAGTATGATGTCACACACGTGTACTCCCTGCTGTTCAGGAGGCTGAGGCAAGAGGACCACGGATTGAGAGGCAGCCTGAGTCACTGACACCCTGTCCAAAAGTGAACAAATAAGGAGGGATGTGTTCAGTACTGCCCAGGTTGTCTCTAGTACTACAGGGGGAAAAAAATCTGTTTCCTTTTTAAGTTGAGACATAGTTCATGTCACATTCATTATGTTGAAGAGTGTATTTCAGTGATTGTGTGTTCCCTGTGCTGTGCCACTGCTTGTCCCCAGAACATTTCCATCATGGTGAAGCTAAGCCCGCAGGCACTCCCCCAAAGCCATTTTCACCTGCCGTGTCTGCCTGTTCAGAACAGCTCACGTCAGTGGAGTCACTCAGCTCCGATGTGTGGTCTGGTTTCTTTTGGTTAGCTTAATGTTCTCCAGACTCCTATAAGATTCCATGCCTTTTATGGCTGGCTATGTAATCCACTGTGTGACTACATCAGTTTCTTTCTAAAAGCCTGTATTTCTTTCCCAAGGTGTATCGTTAATATGAATGCATTGGGGCTGGGGAGATGGCTCAGTGGAATAAGTGCTTCTCTGGTGAGCACAAGGGCCTGAGTTCAGTCCCCGGTTCCACCAAAAGAAAAAAAAATATGAATGCATTGTTAAAGAGTTTTAACTTGGGCTCCTGTCACCACAGTGCTTGTTGTATATCAAGCCCTGTTCTAACTCATTCTTTATAGTAACTCTGTAAGACAGATACAGTTATCATCCTCATTTTCTCATGAGAAAACTGAGATACAAAGAAGGGAAATAACTAAAGTCACAGTTTGTAAGTGACCAAGCTATGACTCAAACCTGGGCAGTCTGGATCCAAAAATTAACTTCAGGGTAACTTTGCTTTTAAACTTGCACATAAGATCATCTTATATGGTCCATTTCTCTTTTTATTCTTTGGTCTGTCTCTTCCTTCCTTTATCCTCTTGCCTCATGCCACAGAAGTTTTCTCATGCATCAATAACTGGTTTCCAGCTGGGAGTGGTGGCTCATGCTTGTACAAGGCCAGCCTGGGCAAGATAATGAGTTCAGAGCCAACCTAAACTATACTATGCGACCCTATCTCAAAAAAACAAAAAACAAAAAACAAGCAAAAAACCAAAAACAAAACCAGATACCTGGTTTCCAGGTTATTATTACATATTTAGGATAAGGAGTTCATTGCAGTCTCAGAAATCCTAGAAAGTGCTGGTTCCTGTTTCTCGAGTCCAGGGTACAACAAACTTTACTATAGTCACTATCCTGGCCTCCATAGTGCTGTGAGGGCTCTATCTTTCTCATTTGGTCCTTTCCTGTGAACTGGCTTTGTTGTTTTTTGTTTTTAATATTTTTTTTTTTTTGGCAGACCTGGGGATTGAACTCAGGACCTTGTGCTTGCCAGGCAAGTGCTTTTTCTACTGAGCCATGTCCCCAGCCCCTTTAATTTTTTAAAAAATCATTTATTTGGGGCTGGTGAGATGGCTCAGTGGTCTAAAGCACCTACTTAGAAGAAGCTTAGCAAAGCACAGGGACCACGGTTCAATCCCCCAGCACCACATGCCAGCCAGCCTGCCCCCTGGTGGGCTGAGCTGGCCACACACACACACACACACAAATTAATAAATTAATAAATAAATAAAAGTTAAAAAAATCATTTATTTATTTATTTGGTACAGGGTCTCACTATGCAGCTGGGACTTATAGTGATCCTCTTGTCTCAGCCTCCCAGGCTCTGGGATTACAGGCATGCGTGCCTGGTTTCAGCAGCCAGCACACCATGGGGTACCAGGACTCAAACCTGGGACCTTGCACATGGGGTGCTGGGGATCAAATCTGGTCCTTGCGCTTGCCAGGCAGGTGCTTAGATGGCTGAGCTATCTGCCCACCCACCAGCTTCTGAAGACTGTTTCCACCATACTGCCAGGGACTTTGAAAGTACAGCATTGATCTTACCTTTTCACAGCTGACCTGCCTGGTGGGGTGAGGTGGCCATTCTGAGAAGTCTGGTGGCAGAACTCCAGGGAGCATGGCTGGGTCGCATGCCCATTTCAGAGCTGTCACTGTGGCATGGCAGATATGGTGCTCTTGCCAGCCCCTGCTCACCTGTGTGGACCAGGTCTCCGGCTCAAAGAGGTGTCTCACTAAGGGCGGGGGCTGCGAGCACTGAGAGGAGAATCGAGGTCTGCAGCGGAGGAGTCGGTGCGCTGCATGTGGTTGTCGAGGACACTCAGATTCCTACCCTGGCATTTTTGCTTCAATGAAGTATTACAGTGTTACCTTTTTCAGTAGCTTAAGTTGTTTGAATTTATATTAAAAGTTGTATAATGATTTCAATTTCATTAAAAATGAGTTTTTCTCGATATAGTCATAGAGTGATTCATGCAAAAGAAATAATCATGTCACTTCAGAGAGCTTGTTCAAATTGCATAGCTCTTTGGTTTATTTTATCTTATTTTTTAAAGGAAGGTGATCTTTAATTCTGACACCCAAAACCTTGTAGATTTTTATTTTACATTGAGAAATTTTTAACATGTACAGAGGAGTGGTTTTCAGTATATTCATAAGGTTGTGGAACCATCCCCAGGGCCCTCCTCCAGAACATTTTTGCACCTTTGAAAGAAAGTCTCTCAGTCATTTCTTCTAGCCTTCCCTAATCTCAGCCTTTGGCAACTTCTAATCTGCTTTCTGTCCTACAGATCTGTCTATTCTAGATCTTCCTATGAGTGGAATCCTACAATCAGTGGCCTTCGTGTGTAGCTGCTTTTACTTTGCATGATGTTTTCAAGGTTCCCCCATGCTATAACAAATGTCATTCCTGTAATTTACATTTTTTTTTTTTGTAGTACTGGGGATTGAACCCACAGCTATAGGCCTGCACTGTCAGTAAGCTATGTCCCCAATCCTTTGTATTTTTTGAGACAGAGTCTTCCTCCGTTGCCTGCACTGGCCTTGAACTTGTGATTCTCTTGCCTCAGCCTTCTGACTAGCTGAGATTACAGGCATATACCAGCATGCCTAGTCTTCATTTCTTTGCACAGGGGTGCATAATGCACCGCATTTCCTTTACACCATGGTCTCAGGCACTGCTATGATTTGGACATTGAATGTCTCCCAGAGGCCCACGTGGCAAGGGCTCGGTCCATGGGCTGAGGTTCCTGGGAGGTGGTGGATCACTTAGGGCACGGGGCTTAGTGGGTATGCGCCCTGGGAGATGATTTTCACAGGAGGGTGGCTGTAAAAGCCCGAGTGTGCCCCCATCTTCTGCCCGTCTGCTTGTGGTTCAGGATGTGGTCGCTTGCACTTACCCTGCACACACAGCCACCTTTGCCATCTTGTGGGAGTCAGGAGGTGGCCACGGAGCCAACACTTCCATTTGGGCTCTTAGCCTCCTAAACTGAGCTGACTGCACCTTTTCTCTGTATGAGGTTGGCTGCCTCAGATTCGCCACAGTAGTCTTGGGCAGCTGACTAAAACATGCCTCTGTTGAGGCGATGGACATTTGGTTACTTGTGCTTTTTGGCTATTATGAACAGTGTTGCTGTGAG